GGTGGACACTGATACACAGTGCTCCAAGCCCAGACCCTCGGCTCTTGCAGTGGCCTCGCCCTTCCGGTTTCTCCTCACCTGAGTCTTGCTCACACTCCCATCCTCATGCTCCCACAGCGCTGCATTCACTCCTCCCAGTGACAGCCACTGAAGGACATAACCCCAGAGCTGGCATCTGAGGCCTCCGGAAACGGCCTCATCTCGCCCCCTGCCCTACACATACTGTACTGAACCGCCAATCCCCCTCGGACCTGCCCTTTGTCTTCCCAACTCCACACCTCTGCTCAGACCGACAGCAAGAGCCATCTGTCCACACAAATGCCCTCTGCTCCTCAGTAGTCTACTGCAATCCAAACCTGTCCTTCAAGACCTAGTTCACCTCTAGTCTGAAGCTGTTCCTGATCCTCTCAGCCTGAAGGGCCCGCTACCCTGGATGCCCAAGCCCTTGCCCTAAGGCACTCATCTCATGGGCCCACACTGTAGGTGTGCATGGCTTATGGACACCGATGCTGATGTCTTACCTGCCTTTCCAGGCCAGGGGCTTCTAAGGGCAAGGGCTGTGTCCTCAGGTTAAATCTCTCCAGCACTTAGCACACAGCAGTAAGTGATAAGTGAATGACTATAAAACCTGAGGAATGCATCCTTTAAAGCAGGGGTCTCCAAGCCCTGTGCTGCTCTGTGGCCTGTTGAGAACTGGCCGCATAGCAGGGGGTGAGCGGCGGGCAAGAGCAAAGCTGCATCTGTATGTGCAGCCGCTCCCCAGTGCCAGCATCACCGCCTCAGCTCCATCTCAGATCATCGGGCATCAGATTCTCATAGGAGCGCTGGTCCCTGGAGCCAAAAAGGTTGGGGACCGTTGCTTTAAAGAATTATTCCCTTTGTATTTTATCTTACTCTCAAACATCTTCTGCAAATATGTTTGTTTTTAAAGGTTAGAAAGAGATAAAAAAAAAAAACTATAGGAAACCTAGGTTGCAGTTACTAGGGGTTTGCATTTTAGTTATTCAATAACTGACTATATATATTTTTCTCTTTTCTGTATGTATCATTATACTTCACAATATAATTTAGAAAATGACAACACCACTGGAAGAATAATTATAAACGTGAGACGCTCGAATCTTGATCTTCTTGAGACAACTGTCGGAGGAATTGTAAGGGCAGAGGGAGAGTCGGGGACAGTTCCTCACTCAGGAGACACACGGGAGGCCACGGAAGGCGGACTGGCACGCTGTCTTACCCCCGGTACCGCACAGCTGGGTACTCCTTCAGGGTGGCACACAGAGTGGCGATCTGCTCTGCCAGGCGCTCCAGTATAGGATTCTTCATCTGAGCCTTGTGGGGACTATAGAAGCTCTGGAAAGAGTCAGCAGAGTCCAGGGAATACACCTGAGGTGGAGGGAAAATATATACAAACTGTCAGATTTTTCTCTAGCCCTGGTAGTGAGTCTACGGGACACGTTTACTCTACAAACGTGCTGGGTGTCTGCTGTGCCAAGCGAGTGCGAAACACTTGGGAACTGTGAACGACCAAAACATGACCGTCCTTGAGAAGTGTGTGAATGGAAGGCAGATAATAAATAATCAACATAGTGAAAAGTTTTATGGCATGTGAGAAATTGGTAAGTGTTTGAGACTATAATGAAGCAGGGAAAGAACACTTGGAAGGGCTGGACAGGGAGGACAAGGCCTCCCGGAAAAGGGGACGTCTGAGCAAGGGCTTGAAGGAGGTGAGGAGTTTCTCACCAACAGGGGACCTGCCACTGGAGGGAATGGTTGGCGCCAAGGCCCTGGGGCAGGCGGGGTCTGAGAAACGATGAGGCCAGGAGGAGAGCAGCGGAGGAGGTTAGTGTCAGACCCCACAGGCCATTCATTATACATGTAAATAAATAAGGGAAGAGCTAGAAATTGTGCTGTGAATGTCAGCAAATAATGGAGCTTTGTGATTTAATAACTTCTTTACCTAAGAGTATGTTGTATTTTTTTTTTCTTTTTCTTTGGAGAGTTTTGGAAGTTTAAGATTTCCTCTTAAACTACCTAGTCTACCAACTACCAGTATTCTCTCAGAATCTCATTTATGAAAACTACCCTGATCATCTAGAAAACAGGTTTAAAAATAAAAGTTTATTACTTTTTAAAAATATATAAAATATAATGTAGCTGGATACGCTAAAGTTAGATTTTGTTCAAACTGGGTGGTGACGGGGATCCTATAAAGAAAAAAAAATTCCACCCTCAAGATGGGAACAGGCTTTAGTCCAAGTGAGATGGAAAAGAAACTGCCTTTAAACGTTCACACTGCATTTTTCCCATCCTTCCTTACTGAAGAATAGATCACTCTCTGGTGTCTAGAAGCTGCTCTATAAAGATCCAATATGCCACAATCATTTTTTATCTCTAGAAAATGCATAAAAATCCCATTACTTTTGTTTCTTTGTTAGGAGAGGACATTTTAACAGATCTTAAGATACTAAGATATAAATTTTGTACACTCTCTCTCAGCATCACCTTTGCTGGTGTAACAACTTTGTTTTTTTCCAGGGGGAGAGGTTTGCTGCCATAGCATCTGGTCTACAAAGTGTTAACGGCTAATGACGAAGGCTGCCATCTGTTCTCTCAGCACAGGACAGGCTGAGGTTATCTCTACATGAAAACAGTCTCCTTCACAGCAGATGGGTGTTGTCTGATCCCTTCCCATCTCGCCTTTCATGCTCCTTCTGGATTGGCTGCCTTTGGTTATTCAGGAGTCAGCCAATCAGAGTGAACACCGTGAGCAAGGAGACATGCACACAAAGAAAGGCACGATGGCTGAAAACCAGTCAGAAATAACTGAAGAGTAAGCTGAGGGCCGGGCAGACTCTAAGGAATACTGTCTCTTTCCATTACATAAACATACACTTACAACAGCTCATTCGGCAATTCAGGATTCATTATCCTCCCTCCCTCGCTGTCTTTCTCGCGCCCTTCCCCCACCCTCTCAGACCCTGCCAGAGCTCCTGCCAGAGTGAGTAGGATGCAGGAGTCCTACGCGCCCCTGCTCAGCCTCACCTGGGATTCGTAGGGGAGAAATGCAATGTTGATTTCCGTCAGGGTTTTGATGACTTTGGCCGCTCGAGATTTCACCAGCTCGTTAAACAGGGCATCTGGACACGCTGCGGGAATGACAGAAGACAGTGGGTTTTCTCATCCATTTGCTGGTCCATTTCAACAGGCACACATGTCCGGTGGATTCTTATTTATTAGGATTTTTAAAAAGGCAAATACAGAGTTCATCCCATCCTAAAATACCCACTAATTCTAGGGTATAAAAGGAATATAAAATCACCTACAAGGCCCTAATTTAGAATAAAGGAACAACTGGCAATAAAGACTGAGATACTGAGATTCTAATATCCGGGAGAAGAAAAAAACGCCAGAAGAGATTGTAAAAGGGTTAGGAAAAGGCTGTAATATAAACAAACAGCACACACTGACATGGTTATGAAAAACAAAGGAAAATAAAATCACTAGGAAATGTGATGCAGGACTTCCCCTGGATCCTCTAAGGACCCGACTGCTCAGGAAAGCAGTTGGCGGGGAACCACGATTTCCCATGAGTCTCCTGGGCCACACAATGGCTGCAGGGTCCCAGAAATGTGTTACTGGTTCATTATTACTATGCCGTCTACCCACGTTCAAATAGTAAAAAATTATTCTTTGCAAGAACCTTTCCCCATTTTCTCAGTGGTGAGTTTTATGGGATTTTCCTAGAGAGAAGAACACTGGGAAATCGTTATTACTACACATTCACTGGCCCCACGACTCTCTCACTGCTACTAACAAAGGTGACCAAGACGCTTACGCACTAGGCCACGTGCACACATCCTCCTTGAAATAATGATTTCAGAACAAGGATGCCGTTCTATCTGATACAAAGACCACCAGATGGAATACCTTCGTAGTTAAAAAACAGATGGAAAGACACCACTGTTTATAGCGGTATCCGGCAGTCTATATGGTGGCATACCAAGGCCAGCATCAGGAAATTCTCAGCACTAAACCCCCTGGCCCTAAGAGGTGACATTTTCCATTAAGAAGACCACACAACCTAGTAGGTTTGTATCTGTGTGTACCTATTTTTGTCTCATGCAATTTTTCTTCTGAAAAGAAAAGATCAGGACAAATCGGCAACAACACATTTCCTTCCTGTTGCTCTGGCTTGGTTTTGGTCCGGCCCTGCCGTGCAGAAATGCTAAGTGGGCCGGGCGGAGCGGCAGCCGACATCCGACATCTGACATGCGACGGCCATACTTACAGTCGGTGAAGAAGACGTGGGCAGCCCGGTACTTAGCAGTCGGTGGGTCCTTGAAGTCATTGATGAGAGAACGGACAGACTGGAGAGAGAAAAAGAGGGAAATGAATCTAACTCCAGAACCGAATGGGACCTATATCTGGACCAGGCTTTCAAACTACATGCACAAAATAGCAGGGGACTTTGAATGTATAATTCTAACTCATGCTCAGCCATAACTGAGTTCTGAGGACTTGAAATTAAGATTATTTTAGGATTTAGATGAACAAAAGGCTTCTTAGCTCATTCCAGACCGACAGTGTCAGTTCTTTGGAGCCATAGTAAGTTGGGGTCCTAAGAAGAGACCCACAGAAGAGGAAACTGGTTAGAAACTTTCCAGGAGATTCACGTTGATGAAGTTCTGGCAATTTTGCTGCATCTTCAGAAACTCATATGTAAGCCAGTTTTTTTTTTTTTTGCCAATTTTTAAAAATGAAAAGAAAGTGTAAAAACTGAAGGGAGTTTATGTGGATTGAGAGACCTAAGACAACTATCAATCAAAAGCAAGAAGGTGGACTTTGTCTGGGTGCTTATTTGAACCAATTGCCCCAAATAATAAGACATGTAAAAATGAACACTGACTAGATACCGATGAAATAAACCTGAAACCAAAAAATACCAGAGTTTGGAAGGTGAATCCCTAACTAGATAAAGGAAATCTCCTGCCCAGAGAGGGCGTGCAAGGGGGAAACTAGAATGACCTGGCGCAGGCTTTCTGGACAGGGTCATTTCAGAAAGCTTAAGGCTCTCTTCACCCCTCAATGCACGCTCCCTCCCCGTTTGCGGACTGCGTGCTTCAACAGAGCAGCGTGTTCAATGCTTAACCTAGAAATGGCAGACGCTCTGCGCTACGCAGAGGCTAAGCCAGCATGGGTAACACTTGGCTAAAGCTCTGCTGGGGGAGGATTTACCTTCTCGGATGGAGTGATGAGATACACAGCCTCCAGGCTGGGCAGTGGTTCCCTGCACTTGTTGATGTCTTCCACAACTAGACAACAAAATAGCAGTCCACAGTAAGTAAGAAAACACAACTGGTGATCATAAAACTGGAAGCGATAGATACAGGCTACTGTCAGACTGTCACAGATAAAATTTTATTGGGGGGGCGGGAGTCACTTGTCCCTTCTTTGGAGTTACCACATTCCACTGTCATATGTTTAAGGTGTTAGAAAACCTAAAACCATCTCACACTAAATAGTTCCCACTTCCCATTTCCGTTTAAGTAAATTCCTTGATCTGCTCTATTTGAAAATGGAAAATGCTACCTCATTCTGTCAAGAACAGTCTTTTGCCTCTTCCTTCGGTTTTTTCTCATCTGTCCTAAATATTCCCAGTTCCTTTAGAATTTCCACGTTGAGTTTATTTATCAACCATTAGATAGTTTTATCATTTTCTTCTGTATCTCAAACAAGGTCATTCCAAATACACCCTCTATATAATACTGTCCCTCTCAATTCTCGGTTCAAAGACTAAACATTGTATTTTGTTAAAGCCAACCAGGGGTTTTGGTTTACTTATTTCTTTAATGGTTAGTCAGCTACTTCACCTGGAAAGAAAAGCTTCGGGATAGTCGCTGTCTTACGAATCACCTGATAGATAGAGCTCAGGATGGTTACGTACGCTGTGCTGTCCTCTGGTACAGAGAGGGCAGAACTACGCTGCCACTCCTCCTATGCGCATGATTCAAGGAAATGAAAGCATCGCTTTAGAAGTGTCCCTTGGCACATTTATAAAGACTTCTCGCCCCCAAATCTTTCCCTTTACCAGTGGTTATAGGTTTTTGAATTTCATAAGTCAATAATACTTCCCCCAACACAGGGTTGCTAACTTTTAAATTTTGCCAAGTAAGGACCTTTTTTAAAAGCCACTCTTGGGGGAGGGAAAAGCTAGGGGAGAGCTGAACCCTCATTTACTACAGGAAGTCATTGGATAACATCTAACATCGATGAATCAAGAGATAATAGTATAAGTACTTATTTAGAAATATCAAAAAGACAACCAGAAGAGCAGAGTGCTGTTTCTGGGGTGATGGGTCCCGGGGGACAGGAGGGAAGGGAGTAGGGCAGGGAGCTGCTGCTTCTCTGTCAGAAGCTTATTAGCTCCATTTGGTTTTCTGTCCGCTTTAACTTTGTGCATTTTTTGCTTTGATAGGGAAAAACCATTTAAAAAATTCGATGAAAAGCTAAGCAGGGTCAGGCCTGGCTAATACTTGGATGGGAGACCACCTAGGAAGACCAGGTGCTGTAGACGTAAAAAATAAAAATGAGAGATTGTAAGCTGACAAGTTCTTTGCAATCTGCGAGGTCAATCAAGGGTTGCCTCGCCTAAAAAGAAAACTTTAAAAAAATATTAAAAACAAAAAATTTGACGAAGAAAATAACTTTGTAAGCTCAAAACAAGCAGGGGCAAGCCTTGATTCGCCGAATGACAAAAAGTCACACCAAAAATTATGCACTCCCATTTTCAGGACTATGTTTCTGGTGATAAACTGGATTTAGAAATGTGCTCTTTAAAATTAGGGAGTCGAGTTGTCATTGCACCCCCTAAATTATTATATATAATAAAAATATGTATATGTATTTCATGTAGAATTTAATCAACAGAAAATCTACAATATATTACCACCATAATTTCACAGTTTAAAAACATTTTAACACCAAATAATGAGAAAGACATAATCTTAGACTGAAGAACAAAGCTTTACATGAAATTCATTTAGCTTAATGAAAACCACCCTCTGGTTTTCCTCCCATAACTGTGGTATGCTAGTAACTTTGACAGAGACCAGCCACAGTGTGTGAGCCACATATCACATAAAGTTGTCTGCAGGGGAAAAAAGTGGG